TGATGTTGTCTTAGATTAAAATATTATTTAGCATAATCAATCTCTTTACTTTATATCCTTTAGCGGACTGTATGTATATGTTAGACATCTGCATGAATGTCAAAAAACACACATTCAAATGTACAATGCTCAAAATGAGTTAAGTGAATTTGAAAGCAAAGCCAACCCGGTGTGATAGATTCGGTTCTCTTACTCTTACTCATTTGCACAACTAATAGGAAAAAGGAAACGAATTGAATGAATTGAGAATGTTAAAAACAGAGAAGTTTCATTCGAATGATTCGAGTTGCTAATGTTTAAGTTTTAATTTAATTTATTTCTATATTAACAATAATTTACAAGTCATTTAAATTTGAATGCAAAAACATTATTTTGTTTATGTTTTCTGAATTAGTGGCTATTTGACACTGCTTTTCTGTAATTAAATTTCTTGCGTTTGAAAATGTACGTTCTGACGCCGCTGCTCCCTGGAATGCAAAATATTTTGCAGCTTGTTTTGTGCAATAGCGGAAAAAATTGCTTATTCATATGCCACCAGCCTAAAGCATTAAAATCAATGGTGTATGCTACATTAATATTGCAATATCCTGAAATTTCTTGATCCACCTTGTCTTGTATTGTCTCAACATGGGGGACATCGAAAAAATCAGCAAATTCATCGTCTACCAACTGGGTTTCATTATTGTTGATGTCAAAGTTTTCTTGTAGAAATTGACTTATAATAATTTTGCAGTCTTTAATTATGGTCTCTTTCTCAGTTTGTGAAAATTGAATTAGTTTGTTCGTTGGAGGAAAAAGGAACAAGGCTAATTTATGGTATTTTGTCAAATTTGGATTACTTGTTGATAAAATTTGGCTATTGAGTTGCAATTTAAGTCTTTTAATTATTTCTATGTCATTGTTCTCGATATGGCAGGTTTTCTTAAGGTTATTTAAATTTGGCAAAATTAAATGTATCGTTGGGCGTTTAGAAGCTTCAAGTTTTTTGGACACATTCTCAAATACTTCTAGCAATCGTACAATTCCAACTAAATGATTTATATTAATGTTTTCAACTGTGCAGGTTTGGTTTTTGCTTTTAAAATAGCTATTAGCTCTATCCAATTAATTTCAATGGACTTAAGCAAATAGTAGACGGTATTCCACCGAGTTGGACAAAAGCTCTTTAAGGACACGCTTAACGATGAATTATTTCCTGACTTTTTAAAATATTTGACTAGCTTGCTGCAACTTGTGACAATATTTCCCACCTCGGGAATAGCGTTAATAGCTTTTTCAACAGCGTTGTTAAGCAAGTGGTTTATGCAATGAACCTGTTTATGCAATCAGGTAAACAGATTAAATCTGTTTAATCCCAGAGTCGACAATAATTTTAACAGGACGGCAGTTCTTAAGTACCCATTCGGTTATAATAGATAAGCCCTCGTCCTTTGTAGCTTTGTTGACTTCAATAAGAGAAGGGTTGCGGAATTTATTAGCATTTACTATGTAGCATTTATGTTTGACCAGGATGTGCTTCCTGTAAACTTTAAAACTGTATAGCACATCTTACAGGCTACAAAGTCGACAATTATTTCTCCATTTTCGTTTTTAATTTTAGAGAAAAATTCCCATACTTCGCTTCTGCCTCTCTTTTGAATTAAGTTGTACATGCCACTTTGCAGCTTCTCTTTGATACCTATCGCACCTTGCACAACCTAAATGTTTCAAACAAATTAAATTGACAAATTAAAATAAATAAAGAACAATATGTATTAAAGAACAATACATATTCAAGAAAACGGGGACGGAGCATCTTGCCGAAAACACAGTCTCTTAGCAGTAGGTACTTAATAGCTAACCAAACAACGGCAGCTAACGAGTGACCCACCGGCGCTGGTAAACTGTCTTTTCAACCAGCTGCCATCTGTGACAGTCCCTTAACAACTTGTGAAGGATTCTTGCAGAGGCGGAATAAGCAAAAGCCGCCTTGCATTTAATAATCATCTAATTTACGAGGTCTACAAATACATACAGATTCATCGGCTTCTTTTTCTATTTGGTTTTCCATAATTTCGGCTTTGTTCCGGATTTGTCAAAAAGGGAATGTATTGAAATCTATCCAACAACTCGAATGATTCAAGTATACAAGGCATCTGTCAAATCTTTAATATTACTTTTAGTTTGGTTCATTCTCTTTCATTTAGTTTGACCTGTCAAATTATGAGAGGAACACAAACTTGTACTCATTCAATGACATTTCATTCTAACATTTCTTTCACTTCATTCTATTCAATTCGAAAGTATTCTTTGAGACTTATGTTATGAATGTAATCATGCATATGTCTAGTATATGTGTATTTTTGTTTTTATATTAAATTTATATATTTCATTTCTTCAATATTAGATAATTATAATTAATTAATTAATTTTAATAATTAATGTTTTCTTCGATTTTTTAGTGAACGGAAATTGTACATTTTTTAGAATTGTTGTAATTTATGTTTACTAACAATTATTAAACTTTCTAAAGAAAGGCTACAGTTACTATTATTTTTTTTTTCTTTTTTACATTTAAATACCATGCTCAATCAAATGACTGAACATTCTGTAAAGGGCCAAAAAAATAGGTAATTTCACGATGTTTAATTTGTGTTATTCTGAGGGCTTCTTTTTTTTTTAATTTGAATTTTTGTATAACATTTTATTGATAATTATTATTGTTATAATTATTATTTAACAGTTAATATTCGTACAATGGTTAAAGATTTATTTGTTTAACGCATGTTGAATTAATTATGGAAACTTATGATTTTATTGTCTGCTCGTCAAAATCGTGTAGTAAGCCGATTTCAGCCTCCCAGGCCAGTATCGTCACCTCAGCTTACATCAAAGCTAAAACCATGATCCTATTAGAGTGGAAAACATTAGGAAATTTAAATATTCCTACTCAAGGCGCATGTCATCCTTCACGATACTTGTGGATCTCCAGCTACATAGATGGACAAAAAAAAGTGTTATTTTAAAGATGTACATTCCCGCTTAGTCTGTGCTACATCTGAAGACCCTCAAGGAAGTTACATTGGCCCGTAACTGTTTACTTTTTTTTATTAATGATATGCCCCGTGCTTTAACGAACTCGCTAGTACGTGTGTACGCAGACGATGTTAAGCTTTGTTTTCAATACAAATTCACCTCTGCCCAGTGACTTCAGTCCGAACTCGACAATTTTCATAAATTGTGTTTAGCGAATGATTTAATACTTAATTGGATCAAAATGAAAAATGTTGTCTTTCTATCGTTCTGGCCTCTCCATACTATGTATTATCTCTATTGGATTGCTTTAGAAAAATTAACTCAGAGGTAATGATCAGAAAAAAATACCAATTATTAGATTAAAACTAAAATTTCCCGACCATAGTTCCACAATGGTAAACAAGGCTGAAAATGATAAAAAAGGTGACCTTGGTTTTATTAAAAGATGGTAACAAGAATATTATATTACTAAAATTACTTAAATTTTAGTATATTACTATATTACTAAAAAATTACTAAAACTTAACCCCCTTAACAAAGCGTAGAACATTGCTGGGTGTCGCTTTCCTACACAACATGATTAATGGTCCCTAATAGATAGACTGGCAACTTTAGTCCCTTATTCCTTAGCCATTGTAGTTCGACTTATGCACAACACGATCCTCTTAGGGTCTTATGTTCGAACTATTAGGGTCTCTACCGCATCATCTCACTCTCTTAAAATTTAATCTTCCTTTCTAATTTTTTTTTATCGATTTAATAACTTGTATCTATTCCCGCGATTCGGGACCGTAATTATTATAATTTTTTGTTCATTATTTGTTGATTTTTATGACAAAAATTGAAATAGACCTCTTATTTTCAATTTTTATAATAATAATTATGAATAAGAATTATTTTTCAATTTTTACAATAAAAATTAACAATAAAAATTATGATTCAATTTTTATTATAAAAATTGAAAATAAAACTTATTATAATAAAAAAAAATCTTATAAAAATTGAATGCGAATAACTTCTAAACCAAGTGGACTATTAAAAAACATATTTATGATCTGTGGCGCAGTACATTTCAAATGGTGTATCGAATGTCCTTAAAGGAAATATTCCGACTTATATACTGCGTGCAAAGGAAAGAAGGGTGTGTGCAAAGTTTCAAGTTGATATCTTTAAAACTGAGAGACTAGTTCGCGTAGAAACAGACAGAAAGACGGACTAACGGACAGACGGACAAGGACATGCTCATATCAACTTAGGAGGTGATCCTGATCAAGAATAAAAATGGAATAAAAATAAGGATAAAAATGGAATAAGGATACCGATCCTTATGATTACATCATAATAAAACTAATTAACTAAAATAAAAAATCTAAAAAAAGTCCCAAACTTCTATCTTCAAAAATACGAAAGTTGATATTTCAGATCAAGATTGTGTCAAAATTTTGGCACACCCACTCTCTCCTTCAAAACAGAAATATCGTGGTAGCGCCAGTTCGTTAATGATTTTGGTAAATTTTTTGATGCAAAACTGTTGCAATGACTAATCTTCGCCCATGAATCTAAAAGCAGCCGAATCGGATAATTTTTAGAGGAGTTATAGACTTTTTAGTCCGCTTCACTATTGAATCAGCAGTATGGCCGTAGGTTTGTTGTTGTTGTTTTGCCCAAGCACAAAAGTATGAAATTAAAGTATGTTGCTGAGAATCTATTCTGTTAAGGTTTAAACTTTAAAGGTTAGTTCAATTGTGGTTGGATGAGATGAGTACCGGGTATAATATAGTCGGGAAAATCGACCGTCATTTTTTGATTAATTTAATACACATTAATTTTATACACTTGAAAAAAAGTCTTTCCTGAAGGTTTTTTAAAGTTAAGAGGTTCATGGAAAAATTCCTCCAAATTAAACTGTCTTAAATTGTAAAGCGATTGTATCACATCAAAAAATTCGATTAAAATAATTATAAATCGATATTTTTTCTTTGCAGAATTTCGCCGCACCAACCCCATAACCTCATAAGTGAAAGGACATATAAGCATTTTTGGATTATCTTGCTTACATCCTTCATATTTTATTCACATAATTCTACGTATATTTAATCATCCTATGAAAAGAAAGAAAACCCAGGACAGATCTAAAAAATAGTCTAATTGCAATGCTTCTTTAAAGATCGTTAAAACATTCAAACAGGTCGTAGAAATTGAGGAAGCCACAAGGGGACATTCTAAAACAAATTATATTATTATTATTTTATAAAAATAGATTATTAAAATGAATATTGGTCAATGTCAAGACCAAAGCACAAGAGAGGAAAAGGTATGCAAGTTTACAAAAGGAAGTCCAATCAGCCATCGAAATAATCCATTTCGGAAAAGTGATGTAGTTTTGTCACATCGGCCTATTAAAAATCCGACAGTAAAAACTGAAAGAAACTTTTGCGATGAAAATGTATTAACCCAACATCTAAAAGTTCAGGAGAATAAGACGAACAATTTTAAAGAAACAAAATCGTTTGATTCTTCTCAAATCGATGATTACGTAACCACAGAAGAAGTTCTCAACCAATCTAAGTTTGTGAAAACGTACATTAAAAATCCCGACGCCTATTTTACTTACGATCCTTCAGTATTGGCTCGGCTTAAGCTTGAAGATTTTCAGAAAATATCTGATAAGCGTCTAAAATGGAAACCAATTTACAAGCAACCCTCTGAAAAGGATCAAACACAGAAAAAAAACTCTTACCATAAAAATATGTTTACATTAAAAAATTCAACAAAATGTGTACCTTTAAATAACCCAGATTTGGACAATTTAAAAATACATAACGGCGCAGGGCCTAACTCCTCCAACATTGCGCACTTAAATCCTGCTGAGGTTAAAAATAACGCACGTAGGTTTGACGAAAGAGTTAAAAAACTTCAGATAAGATCTGACGATGACCTGGATGATTTTGATAGCACTCTAAACGAGTCCTGCGATGAGCTGGACATTTATCGTAAGTTTTATATGCAGATTCAACCAAGAAGTATACAATTGTGTACAAACTCGTTACCATTATCAATGCCCTACACTTTCTCAAAGAAAATGAGTTCCTTTGAACTTAAATGCTTCCGCGAACGAAAAAGTTTTTCACATTGCCCTAAAGAAGACGACGTGACTTTGTCCACGATAGCTTCATCTAATCAACCTTATAAAGATAAAAGCGTGAACAAACAGTCATCGGAAAAAAAATTTTATGCGCCGCTAAAAAAACAACTCTCTCAAAAACTTATTCCTTTTAGGCTAAACAATACGTCAAGCGCACCCGTTTTGAACCCCTGTTTCTTTGGAAGCTGTGCGAAGAACCGTGAAATTGAAAAATCCTGCATATCGCCTAAAATGGGGACTATTGTGTATAATCAACAAAAGAAATCGCAAATTTGCATGGAACGCAAAAATAATACATTACTGCAATTTGTACCTGTGGAACATGGCTTGGCAATTAACGATACTTTTTTAGACGGCCGGGATCGATGGGACCTCTGTTGATGCAGACGGATTTATATGTGCCTAACTTCAGTAAACTTAACGAATTTTCATCCGCCTCATCTCTCATGCAAGACAATCACCAATGGCAACAACTGAGGGCTATTAAAGAGGTAACTGATCGTCAACTTTATAATAAGGTATTGGACCAACATCAGCAATACTGCTCAAAGGTGCTAGCTCCTCCTAGTGCTAGTATGAAGACGAAAATTCATCAGCATTTGCGTACGCATCAGCTGATCTATCGGAAAAAACAGAACAGTTATCGCATATCCCTTTCTGGCAATGGTGTCCGCACCCAACATCTTGACAACATTAATCCAAGTAAAATTAATAGCGATTGGCTTTCTCCAATGAATGAACGTGGCACAAAAATTACCTCTTTGATAGGTAAAGCATTTACTAGAGATGAAATTCTTCAAAAAGTTAAAGAGTTCTGTTTTAAGAGCATCAAGCGAACCCATATTTCAGAGATCAAAATACAGAATCTTCCGAAAAAAATGCAGCAAACGATCCATATTCTCTAAAAGAATCTTAATTTAAAGTAATTGCTAGTTTTAATAGTGGAAATAATTATTTTTATTATTACTTATAATTAACTTATTCATCAGGTAGTGACGTCGATTATTTACATGGAATGACGTTAATAATTATTAATTTTACAGAAACAAATTAAACAAGGGTTTTTTTGTGACGGAGGATATTGTTGTTTAACATATGAATTTTGATTTATTGGTTGCGAATGATTCTGTGGCGAGTTATGCCTGACACCGCAAATAAACTATATTCGAGGCGCCTTCGAAGATTCTCTGTAACTCTCTTAACAAATTTTCTGTATTTGTGCTGACAATACTAAAACAATCCATAAAGAAAAGTTTTAAATAAAATGAATATATTCATATCATATTCTTATTTGGCGTCATATTGGTGACTCGCAATTTTAAAAAATTTTAAGTGGTAAATCATCAGTGTTGTCACAGTACCAAAGCCAGCTTCTTCATTGACTTTTTAATGTGGTTAAATTGGCGTTAACAATCATAAAGTTTATGGAATTTTGTTGTGTGAATCAAATAATTCCTGAATCTGAAAATGGAAGGTCTTTGTACAGGTACTTAAGTATTTATTTAAATCAGCGTAATTGAGATGTGTTGAATCTTTTTATATGTTTCTAAAAAACTAATTTTATCTTATTTTAAAGGACATATACCCATATATATGTACAATTTCTCATACAAACGCACTGTGGCCGATTTGGGTAATTTAGCGTCGAATATGGAATATCATTAAAAATAATGATAATTTAAAAAAGTTTGAAATTCGTATGGAATGTTAACCCAATAAGAAATAAAATTTAGTAATTGTAATTAAGTAAAATTGTTTATTTTTATTTTTTTCTAGTTTACTTTACTTTTTTTGCAAAATAAACTAGTTTCAATTGTCCATAAGAAGATTTTGGCCTTTAATCTCAAAGGAAACTGCCTTGCTCGAGTTATTGGTCGAACTTTTGGAAAAGTTTATTATTAATGGATCTGACGATAGTAACAATAAGTGCAAAAATTCATCCATTGTGTTTTTGTAAGAGTTTTTACGTGTATGGCTCAAGCGAAAATTTCTTAAATCTTTGTTTCGGGCTTCTTCCGACATCATTCCGATCGGTATCCGCAGTGAATCAAAATGTTGTACATTGAGGATGGAATCCAATTTACTATCCTCATCCAAAAGAACCTAATGTTTCGTTAACCAACAAGCGTTCTTGCTCTCGAAAAGCTTCTTAAACATATGTACCTATTTGATTTATTCCATAATTTTTTTAAAACGAATATTACAAAAATTTTTACCGGTGCATTCTATAGATGTCAAGTTCGCTTCGGAACATTTCGATTAATGAATTATATTCCTAAAAATGTGATCTACTACTGCAGAACCCATAAAGATTATGGCGTCTGCATCCCCATGCCAAACTGCAAAAAGTGATTGCTGGAAATATCGCTAACTTTAACAGGGGCACGTAGGGGCAGCTGAACATGGATAATTTATACACTAGACGAACCACAGTTTACCAAAAATATACGCTTTTTGTGGGCCGAGGCGAGCTTCACAAAGTTTACCTCTACAGAAGTGGAAATTTGTCATAAAAAAAGGGTACTGCAAAAATATTTAATTATTTGACTATCGGTAGGAAACAGCATTTTAATGAATTTTAACAGTTGAAAATTTGCCTAATCTGACGCTAGAATAGCTAAACCGGGCACTGTGAAACAGCCTAAAATTTTGAACGCGTGGATCTCGAAGACTATAAGAGATAGAACTTGAACTCGTATGGTATCCGCGTAGATTAAAATTGTGTCAAAGTTTTGCCAAAATAAATAATTTTGAAAAATGTTTTGATGCCAAACTGTTCAAATGACAAATCTACCATGAATATAAAAGCAGCCGCTTTACAAGCTACACTTCTGAGTCGGCAGTATGGCCGTTGCTATTTTGTTGTTGTTTTGCCCAAGCACAAAAGTATGAAACCAAAATATGTTGCTGAGAATCCATTCCGTTAAGGGGTTATATACAGTTTTTTTAAAAACAAATTTTATCGATTTTTTTCGACACCACAGAAAATATTTATTAAAAATGTTTTAGTGACGTTGTTTAGTACATGTTTCTGGATACTTATTTAGATTTTTTCATAAAAAATATTAAATAATAAAAATGTTATAGCCGAATCCCAAGATCGTCTTTTTTCGATGGTCTCTTGCGGTAGACATCATATCCCGAGAACGGTTCATCCGAAATCAAAAATTCAAAAAAAATTTCGTTAGTATATTGTATTGCCTAGTCCGTTTTATAAAAATAGATTATTAAAATGAATATTGGTCAATGTCAAGACCAAAGCACAAGAGAGGAAGTTTACATACCTTTATGCAAGTTTACAAAAGGAAGTCCAATCAGCCATCGACATAATCCATTTCGGAAAAGTGATGTCGTTTTGTCACATCGGCCTATTAAAAATCCGACAGTAAAAACTAAAAGAAACTTTTGTGTTTCTCCCCAACGTTTCTTGCGTTTCTTTCTTGCGAAACCCCAACATCTAAAAGTTCAGGAGAATAAGACGAACAATTTTAAAGAAACAAAATCGTTTGATCCTTCTCAAATAGATGATTACGTAACCACAGAAAAAGTTCTCAACCAATCTAAGTTTGTGAAAACGTACATTAAAAATCCGAATGCCTATTTCACTTAAGGTCCTTTAGTATTGGCTCGGCTTAAGCTTGAAGATTTTCAGAAAATATCTGATAAGCGTCTAAAATGGAAACCGATTTACAAGCAACCCTCTGAAAAGGATCAAACACAAAAAAAACTCTTACCACTTAAATCCAATGCGCACTTAAATCCTGCTGAGGTTAAAAATAACGCACGTAGGTTTGACGAAAGAGTTAAAAAACTTCAGATAAGATCTGACGATGACCTGAATGATTTTGATAGCACTCTAAACGAGACCTGCGATGAGCTGGACATTTATCCTAAGTTTTATATGCAGATTCAACCAAGAAGTATACAATTGTGTACAAACTCGTTACCATTATCAATGCCCTACACTTTCTCAAAGAAAATGAGTTCCTTTGAACTTAAATGCTTCCGCGAACGAAAAAGTTTTTCACATAGCCCTAAAGAAGACGACGTGACTTTGTCCACGATAGCTTCATCTAATCAACCTTATAAAGATAAAAGCGTGAACAAACAGTCATCGGAAAAAAATTTTATGCGCCGCTAAAAAAACAACTCTCTCAAAAACTTATTCCTTTTAGGCTAAACAATACGTCAAGCGCACCCGTTTTGAACCCCTGTTTCTTTGGAAGCTGTGCGAAGAACCGTGAAATTGAAAAATCCTGCATATCGCCTAAAATGGGGACTATTGTGTATAATCAACAAAAGAAATCGCAAATTTGCATGGAACGCAAAAATAATACATTACTGCAATTTGTACCTGTGGAACATGGCTTGGCAATTAACGATACTTTTTTAGACGGCCGGGATCGATGGGACCTCTGTTGATGCAGACGGATTTATATGTGCCTAACTTCAGTAAACTTAACGAATTTTCATCCGCCTCATCTCTCATGCAAGACAATCACCAATGGCAACAACTGAGGGCTATTAAAGAGGTAACTGATCGTCAACTTTATAATAAGGTATTGGACCAACATCAGCAATACTGCTCAAAGGTGCTAGCTCCTCCTAGTGCTAGTATGAAGACGAAAATTCATCAGCATTTGCGTACGCATCAGCTGATCTATCGGAAAAAACAGAACAGTTATCGCATATCCCTTTCTGGCAATGGTGTCCGCACCCAACATCTTGACAACATTAATCCAAGTAAAATTAATAGCGATTGGCTTTCTCCAATGAATGAACGTGGCACAAAAATTACCTCTTTGATAGGTAAAGCATTTACTAGAGATGAAATTCTTCAAAAAGTTAAAGAGTTCTGTTTTAAGAGCATCAAGCGAACCCATATTTCAGAGATCAAAATACAGAATCTTCCGAAAAAAATGCAGCAAACGATCCATATTCTCTAAAAGAATCTTAATTTAAAGTAATTGCTAGTTTTAATAGTGGAAATAATTATTTTTATTATTACTTATAATTAACTTATTCATTAGGTAGTGACGTCGATTATTTACATGGAATGACGTTAATAATTATTAATTTTACAGAAACAAATTAAACAAGGGTTTTTTTGTGACGGAGGATATTGTTGTTTAACATATGAATTTTGATTTATTGGTTGCGAATGATTCTGTGGCGAGTTATGCCTGACACCGCAAATAAACTATATTCGAGGCGCCTTCGAAGATTCTCTGTAACTCTCTTAACAAATTTTCTGTATTTGTGCTGACAATACTAAAACAATCCATAAAGAAAAGTTTTAAATAAAATGAATATATTCATATCATATTCTTATTTGGCGTCATATTGGTGACTCGCAATTTTAAAAAATTTTAAGTGGTAAATCATCAGTTTTGTCACAGTACCAAAGCCAGCTTCTTCATTGACTTTTTAATGTGGTTAAATTGGCGTTAACAATCATAAAGTTTATGGAATTTTGTTGTGTGAATCAAATAATTCCTGAATCTGAAAATGGAAGGTCTTTGTACAGGTACTTAAGTATTTATTTAAATCAGCGTAATTGAGATGTGTTGAATCTTTTTATATGTTTCTAAAAAACTAATTTTATCTAAATCGGCCGTTTTTTAAAGGACATATACCCATATATATGTACAATTTCTCATACAAACGCACTGTGGCCGATTTTGGTAATTTAGCGTCGAATATGGAATATCATTAAAAATAATGATAATTTAAAAAAGTTTGAAATTCGTATGGAATGTTAACCCAATAAGAAATAAAATTTAGTAATTGTAATTAAGTAAAATTGTTTATTTTTATTTTTTCTAGTTTACTTTACTTTTTTGCAAAATAAACTAGTTTCAATTGTCCATAAGAAGATTTTGGCCTTTAATCTCAAAGGAAACTGCCTTGCTCGAGTTATTGGTCGAACTTTTGGAAAAGTTTATTATTAATGGATCTGACGATAGTAACAATAAGTGCAAAAATTCATCCATTGTGTTTTTGTAAGAGTTTTTACGTGTATGGCTCAAGCGAAAATTTCTTAAATCTTTGTTTCGGGCTTCTTCCGACATCATTCCGATCGGTATCCGCAGTGAATCAAAATGTTGTACATTGAGGATGGAATCCAATTTACTATCCTCATCCAAAAGAACCTAATGTTTCGTTAACCAACAAGCGTTCTTGCTCTCGAAAAGCTTCTTAAACATATGTACCTATTTGATTTATTCCATAATTTTTTTAAAACGAATATTACAAAAATTTTTACCGGTGCATTCTATAGATGT